TCCTCCCCCTCCTCCTCTCCTTTTCCCTCTCCTTCTTCTTTTTCTTTTCCTCCTCCTTCTCTTCCACCTTCACTTACTCTTTCTTCTTCCAAAAACAGACAACAAACATTGACCTGCCACTCCTAATTCCTCTAAAAGATTGTAAGAGCTGGAGCTCAGCTTTTAGAATGAACCAACCGCAGAGGCCCTGGGGGTGGAGCAGGGACTGAGGCAATAGGGAGACCAAGTGAGGGGCTGGACAAGAGAAATGACTGTCCGGATGCAGGGAGTCTGGGGCCAGCGAGGCAGGCAGACAGATGGCTCCTGTTGATGTTGGAATTGGCATTTGCTTTGTTGGTGTTAGCATTGGTACCTGTACTGGTGTTGATATCAGGGTTAATATTCTTGGGCAGGTCAGGAGGCAGAGAGCAGGGCCTCAAGATGTTGAGTTGAATTTCAGGGAAGGACCCTGGGTCAGAGCTGCTGGGCCCTGGGCAGATGGGCAAGATTAGGACTGAGATACAAAGGAAGCAGCAATGCCATGGTGAGAAATGAGTTATAAGGTGGGACTTGGTCATAGGAAGAAGGCAGAAATTGTTGATCAGAACTGGAGTACCAGGAGCTGAGCCTGGAGAGGGAGTCCAGGGGCCCCAGCTGGGGACATCAAGGGCTTTAGGGTGGGGGGAGCCAGAGAGAGGCTTCCAAAGATGATAGCTGAAACAGTGTGTCATCCATGGCTGTCCAGGGAGGGTGGTGTGGTTTTCCCAGGGCACATAAAACTGCAACTCTTGGACCAAGTAATTCAACTTTAGAAAGACTATCTCCAAAGAAATGACCCAAAGGAAAAAATTGTATATAGATGCTTCTCCAAGTTTGTTTCATCATGGCAGGCAATCAGAAACAAGTCATATATGCACCACTGGTTACGCACACATAGTAGCCACTAAAATTTCACAAGGTAGCCAATAAAAATGTTAAGCTGTCCTGCTGCATGGAAAAGCTTACAGAAGATGATGTTGAATGACTTTTCCTATGACATGGCCATACATGCTAGAAAACATACGCAAATTTGTTGTGTACGTGCTTTGTCAAGGATCAGTGGAAAATGCCGAGCAGGGTCTAACTGGTGATGCTTTGTGTTCTGTGAGACGGGCTTCCTATGAAGCTATTAATTCCAACTTAAAACTTTTTCATTGTTTTATTTATTATTGTTAAATATAACACACGTACATGAAACATAGGTTTAGCTTAATGAATTATTAGAAATCAAAATGACCTATATCAGGAGCTCCAACCTTGCCAGCCACGACAAAGCCCTGCACGTGTCCCTCCCAATCACAATCTTTCCTCCCCTAGAGTAACTGCCCTGCTTGTTGCTCTTTTTCAGGCACTTTTTCTGGCCTCATTTCCTTGTTCTTCTTCATAGTTTTATCACCCAAGTGTGCATCCTTAAGCACCATAGCATGGTTTTATTTTTTATGTATCTTTTAAGTTTCTTATAATCTATAGGTACCTTGTCCATTGAAAAAAATTTTTTTCCTTGCAATTTATTCGTTGGGAAAGATCCACTAATGTCCAGAAAGTCTAGATTTTTGCTGCTCGCATTTCCAGAGTGGCTGTCTCTCCCGTGGCCTGGCGGTGGGCCCTGGCGGCCAGGCCAGAGTCACAGGCAGCGCTCTCTCGGGGAGACCGCTCCTCAGGTTGCGTCTGTCCCATCAAGAAGCATAGATTGTCTGCTTTTGTCTCTTTTTGTGATGTCAGCAGCCCTTGAGCATCGTTGCCTGAGCCATTGCTTTATGAGGGGAGGTGGAGTGGCAATATTCCGATTCCGTCATTCCCTCTGTGTTTATCTGTTGGAATGCTTCTAGAAAGAGGGAAGCTTCCCCTCACCTCCTGTTGGGTTACCCAGTGGTACAGTTCATTTAGGAAAGGCAGGTGTATGCTTCATTTTTTTCTTTCATTTACCAATTTTCAAGATAAATTTGCTTCCTGTCATCCTTTGAGGATGACCAATTAGTTTTAAAAATTTTTTGAAGTATTATCATGTGTTGGGTATTATTAAGTATTCTTCTGAACTGCTAGATTTGAGCATACTTGGTTGGTTTCAGTGAGCTGCAGTCATGCTGACTGAAGCTCAGACGCTGCTGCGCCGTCACCCGGGAGGTGTCTCTGCAGGTTGGCCCCACAGTTGTTGAGCTTCCTGCTCATCTGGAATGATGAGATGTTCCAGGTTCATCTTGTACATTTCCTGCCCCAGACCTGGAATCGGCTATTTCTCTAAGAAGGCCTGGTTTCTTAGAGTTGGAAATGGTATTTCAAGGCTACAGTGTGTGCCTTTGGGATGCTCATTGCTACTGGGATATTGTTTCCATGGACTGAGCTGGGAAATATATTTCTATTTTTAAAGATAAAATACCTTACGAGTTTATACTGATACAGTTAAAATTCAGGACTAAGAGTGTTCACTTCTTCAATGTAAACATTTCAACATAAAATGCAAGGTTAGTATAAAATTTGCTGCAAAATTTAAATTCATACAAACAACTAGGGTTTGTTTTGTTTTGTTTTTTGCTGAGGAAGATTAGCCCTGAGCTAACATCTGTACCCATCTTCCTCTATTTTATATGTGGGTCGCCACTGCAGCATGGCTGACAAATGGTCTAGGTCCACACCCAGGATCCGAACCTGTGAACCCAGCCTGCCAAAGCGGAGTGCGCTGAACTTAACCACTAGGCCATGGGGCTGGCCCCACAAATAACTAGGTTTAATCTGTAGATCTAATTTGTAGTTCTCAGTAAACTGTAGACTTCACACCCTCTCCCATTGGTATGCATGGCTCATTCCACTGGGGGCTTTCACCCTACAGATATCAGACTATTTGGTCCAATGTGTGTAGCTTGAAAAATCCTCTTGGATGATTCTAATATCCTCCTTCACTTCCCATCCCACTCCACTGGGAAAGTCTTGCTCTAATCCCAGTTTCCTCACTGGTGGGAGCAGACTTAAATTGCTTGTGGCCTTTCTTGGCCCATTGGGACTTGCCCTGGGTCCTGATCTTTCTTTGCCCTGCATCGGCCCCTGCCAGAGGGTGTATGTGAGTGCATGTCCACTCATGTGGTTCTTTAGCTGATTCCTGGCTGTGTGTGTCACAGAGCAGTACACAGTGACTGGGCTGATGGAAGCAACTCAGATGATGGTGGACATTGACGGGGATGTCCTTGTGTTCCTGGAGCTGGCTCAGGTATGACGGCAGGGGAAGGAGTCTCTCTAACATTCCCAACTTTGGGTTCTGTCTGTGCATTGGCAGAGAATGGGCAGGGCCGGAGGTGGGGGGAGGAAGGGAACCTGTTTGGGCGGAGCCCATCCATCCTCCATGCCAGGGGACATACCCTGATGTGCCAAGAGGAGGGGCTGTGGTGGGGGAGGGGACTGAAACTTCAGGCACCAATCTGTTGCGGAGGGAGCCCCTGCCTCCAGGGTAGATGTGGTGGCTGCCTGCCTGAGGTCATCTAAGGGACACTGAGGACTCTCCATCTAAAATCAACTTTCACCTCCTGATTCTCAAATAAGCAAAATCTCCCAGCCTAGCCCCCTCAAGTGCCAGAAATTCTACCACTAAACATGAGTTTATGAAGTGAAAGCAGAGCAGATTTGAGGCTTGCTCACACACCTGGGCGAGTCAGCGCCCTAAGCCTGATTGTCAACACCTGAGTGCAGACTGCTTTGGCCCCTGACGGAGAGAAGGACTGAGGAGGGTGGACGTGGCAGGAAGCCACCACTGGGGGCAAGGGGGTCTCTTTGGATCCCAGGGCAGGACAGAGGAGAGGTGGTGGTGGTGTCAAGGAGCATGTCAGATGCCGTCTCCTCAGTTTTGTGTGGGCTCACCTCTTGATGACTGCAGGGCCTTTGCCCACCTGCCCCAAAGCTTCAGGTCTGAGGTGACTGTAGGTGTCTATGCAGACCCGCCCTGGGGTCCCAGCACAGACGCTCTTCTGTCTGTCCCCAGTTCCACTGTGCGTACCAGTTGGCGGACTGGTGTCTCCACCACATCTGCACCAACTACAACAACGTATGCCGGAAGTTCCCCCGAGACATGAAGGCCATGTCCCCAGGTGAGCGTTCCCCGAGACATGAAGCCCATGTCCCCAGGCGAGCGTCCCCCGAGACATGAAGGCCATGTCCCCAGGTGAGCATCCCCTGAGACATGAAGCCCATGTCCCCAGGTGAGCGTCCCCCGAGACATGAAGGCCATGTCCCCGGGTAAGCGTCCCCTGAGACATGAAGGCCACGTCCCCGGGTAAGCATCCCCTGAGACATGAAGGCCATGTCCCCGGGTAAGCGTCCCCTGAGACATGAAGGCCATGTCCCCAGGTAAGCGTCCCCCGAGACACGAAGGCCATGTCCCCAGGTGTGCATTCCCATAGGACCTGTTCCTCCTCCCTCACGCTGCAGGGGCCTTAACTTGGGTCCAAATCGCCACTTGACCTCAGAGCACCTGGAGGCTGCCTGAGATCCTTGGGCTTAACTTGACCTTGTAGGTGGGGAGCAGCCTGCAGAGGTGCATGCAGCCAAGCGGAGGGGGCCCAGGAAAGCGCTGGCCCGGAGGGCAGGGCTGCTGGGGGCCTCAGGCAACTCACTACCTCCCTGGGCCTGTTTCTCACAGGTACAAAGAGCGTGCTGGGCTAGAGTTGGTATTTTTCAGATTTTTTGGACAGGACTCCACAATAAGAAATACATTTTATATTGTGAGCCAGTACAGATACTGAAAAATATATAAATTGTTTTTAATGCTGCTCATGAGCTGCTACATTGATTTCAAAGCCTAGGAAAGGGCACAAGACACGGCGTGGACAGCACAGGTCCACATCTCCTCAGAGGTCCCTGCGGCCTGTCTCTGCGCCCCTAATGACTCGGGCCCTGGGGCCAGGCAGGAACTGACTGCAAGGGCTCCAGGGAGAGGTGTCGCTGCCCCCCAGTTCCTGCCACTTGGTTCTGCAGGTCTTCACCGGGGGCTCCACTCTGCCGGACCCTCCTCCCTGCCACCAGGTGTCGCTGCGCCCCACCAGGGCGCTCGCCCCGCTCTCTCCTTGTTACCCTTCTGGTGTTTTCCTTCTAAAGCAAAGCTCCAATCGCCTCACGCCTCTGATTTCCAACCCTCCGTGGCCCACACGCCTTCCAGCATAGGAGCAGAGCCCTCAGCTAGCATGCCCTCCTGCAGCCTGCGCCCGCTCCCCGGAGCAGGAGCCCTGCTCTCACCCGCGCCCCTCCCGCATCCTCCGTCGCCGCCCGCGGGTCCCGCATCCTCCGTCTCTGCCCGCGGGGGTCCTCCCTGTGCTAGAAGCTCGGCCCAGGCACAACTGCCTCCCGCGGCCGACGGCCCCTCCTTCGCCGGGCGGTTGACCTGTCGGGCGCTCTGCAGCTCGAGGCGGGGCAGCTGAAGGCAGGGCCCGGGCCGCACTGAAGGCCCTGCAGGTCCCCGGACGCCCTCCGCGTCCTACTGCTCTCTGGCCCCTTCTGCCCTCCTTCTAACCAAGCCTGCTGCGTTCTCTCCAGAAAACCAGGAGTATTTTGAGAAGCACCGGTGGCCGCCCGTCTGGTACCTGAAGGAGGAAGATCACTACCAGAGGGCGCGGAAGGAGCGGGAGAAGGAGGACTATCTGCACCTGAAGCGGCAACCCAAGCGGCGGTGGCTGTTCTGGAACAGTCCTTCCTCGCCATCCTCGTCGGCGGCCTCCTCGTCGTCCCCGTCTTCCTCCTCGGCCGTGGTCTGAGATGCTGCCACCCTCTTCTGACCCTGCTGCTGTCGTCCCTACTTGCCCTTGCCCCTCTGCTCTTCTGCATCGCCCCCTCCACCCTCCAGGGACAAGGGGACCCACATAACCAGGACCCTGAGGGCGGAGCTGTTCTCACCAGCCAACACAGCGCAGCAAGAGAGGACGGGCCTTGTGGATCAGGACAGGGACTCCCTGCACAGGTCCCCAACCCAAAGCAGGGCAGGTGACAGCAGCTGGGAGGTGGGGAGCAGGGAAAGAGCTGAGAGTTCTGGCATCTTGTCTCTGGGTTGGAGAACCCTAGAGTCGAAGGGAAAACTCTCCCAGCCATGAGGCTGAGTGTCTTGGTCTGTGGAGGCGGCCTCCTCCCACTGAGCCACGGTGTGCACGCAGGGAAGGTCCTGTCCCTATTGCCACTGATTTTCCACTGATGGACTTGATGGTTGCAAATGTTTTGTGGGCATTTCCATACGGAGTCTACTCAGATCCTCACTGGAGAAGTCAGGGTAGAAATTAAGCCTTCAGAGCCCAACTCAAGGCTTCCACATCCTGGGCTGTAGCTCCCAGATGCCACAAGCGGGAGGCTTGCACGCTGCCAGCCTCCCTCCCAGGGCTGTCGGCAGCCAGGCCTGGTACAGGGTGGCGGAGGTGGTTGGGAGCTCTGGCCTATCAGGAGTGCCTCCTGGTGCCATGAGGAAGTTCTCCCTCCTCCCTCCTTCACCGCTCAGATGTGGAGATGGGTACCAAAGGAGGCAGCCGGAACGGGGGAGAGAGAAGAAGGGGTGAGGGGGTCTGGGCACAGCAATCCCATGCTCCTCTGGGCTCTTCCCCTCGCCTCTGGTTAGCACGGCTTCTTATGGAGTGGGGTAAAACTAGCAAAAAACCCTAAACAACGACAAACAATCACCACCAATGAAAACACTCTAGCCTCTATTCCCTCGAAGAAAGGAAAACAGAAGACCCTGTATAGCTTACATCTTTATAAAGCTAAAGAGGAGACCCGTGTTGATGAGATAAAGGTTTAGGTTGTAGAATTGATTCCAGTGCCTGTCAGGAAAGAACCTGTCACCTGCTGTGGCTGAGGATGCCCTGGCCCTGCTGGCTGGCTCTGCGGGGCAGCACCCATCCCATGCCTTCAGCATGAAGGATTGAGGTTTCAGGGGGCAGGGAAGGGGTGGTCTCAGGGCTCCAACATGGCATTGGACCCTTGTTTTTGCCCATGATGAGAAACAGATTATCCTCTTCACCTTCAGAGGGTGACTCCACAGGATGTGAATGTGTTGGGGGTGGGGGGTTGGGGTAGGAGTCAAAGGTCAGGTAAAAGGGCACTGACTTGGAGACTAGGAGTCCCTGTAATGAAGGATCACAGGGCATGACTTTCCTTAGTGCTGGTTTAGGATAGGTAAAAGGGAAAGAGAAAAAGGGAGACTAAAGCAGGAGCAAAACCAAGATCAGCTTGTGGGGAAAAGCTGGGCCATGCCGACCCTTCCTGTTTTCTAGCCCTGCTCCATATTGCTCCCCCACACCCTTCTTAGACTGGGAAGAGTCTCTCTGATAAGGGGTGGAGCCAGCGAGACAGCTCCTGGGCTCACCTCACCTCAGAAAGATGCTTTAAGAAGAGGGTCTGGCTTTAGGTCCCACGGCCCTGGGATGGGCTCCACCACTAAGAGTCTGGCTTTAGGTTTGGGATAGAGCAAACCCAGAAACAGAGGAAACCTGTGCAACATTTTTGTGGTGCCAAGACTTAGAGGTTTGACGTCACGTCTTTGTCAAGAGGAGGAGCAGGAGGTGGCAGGTCTAGAGTGACTATGACCACTGTTGTCCGAGCCCCAGACTTCTCCAAGGCTATGGCTGCCTCCCCTCCAAGTCCTCCTGCAGGGTGGCTGGCTGGGAAGCCAGACGTGTGCTGCCCTCTACTGACTGGTCAGCCTCCCTTTCACTGAGCCTGCAGGCTGTAGCTTCTGGGTGAAGCTGAGGAGCCAATGGGCAGGGGCAGGAGGCTGAGGACCCGAGGGGAGGACCCAAGGGGAAGACTGCTCTGGGAAGAGGGACAGGGGTGGGGCCATGGGGCCTCCCAGGAACTCTGGGTAAGAGGGAGAGCCGAGGCCTAAAGAGCAAAAGGAGGGGAAATGGGTCTCCAGGAGCTTGCAGGGCTGAGCCATCTGACCCACTGATGAGAATGCAGTGGGGAGAGAAAGTGAAGGTGGCCCAGGAGGTGCAGGAAGCCCACAGGAGAGGGGCCACAGAATGACCCCAGCAACTAGGGTGGACTCACCCCTCAGGGACCCACCACCCCCTTCCCAAATGCTGTGTCAGAGCCAGCCTGCACCACACTGGAGCCCAGCAGGCCCAGGTGCAACCCAGAGACACCACCTGGGGAGGCTGTGGGGGAGCCAGGCCAAGACTAGTGTCCCTCTCCCAGGGGGAAGGGCAGGGAGGTGAAGGAGGGGCAAGGTGCTGAATTCCAGTTCCTCAGGAACCTGGCACTTGGAGATCCAGAGTCAGCAGGAAACCCACCCATGCAGGGCAAGCCTGGAGGCACAGAGGGGAGAAGGGAAGGAGCAAGTCCCACAGCAAGAATACACACCCTTGCACTTGTGTCACTCGGAGCTGCTTCAGAGGAGAATGGGGGGATGGGGGAGAAAAAACCCACACCTCTTTTTATATAAGGTTTCATATTTAATTTGGTCATGAGTTCATAAATACATGAGTATTTTGTACCTAACGGCCTTCCTCGTAGTCTTTGATATTTCCAACAAGCTCTTCAAAGGTGGGACCTTCCAGTGGAGAGAAGCATGAAAGGATCCCCAACCATTAATGCAATACTTATTAAATGCCTACCGTGTGCTATTTGGCTGGATAAAAGACAGTTTTCTTGAGAAAGAAGAACAAAGTTGGAGGCATCATGTTCCCTGATTTCAAATTATATTACAAAGCTATAGTAATGAAAACAGTATGGTATTAACATAAAAACAGACACATAGATCAATGGAATAGAATAGCCCAGAGATATACCCATGCATATATGATCAATTAATTTATGACAAAGGAACCAAGAATATACAATGGGGAAAGGACAGTCTCTTCAATAAATGGTCTTGGGAAAACTGGACCATCTTACACAATACACAGAAATTAGCTCAAAATGGATTAATGTAAGACCTGAAACCCTTGAACTCATAGGAGAAAACATAGGCAGTAAATTCCTTGATATATGTGTTGGCGATGATTTTTTGAATCCGACACCAAAAGCAAAAATAAGTGGTACTACGTTACACTAAAAAGCTTCTGCAAAGAAAAGGAAACCATCAACAAAATGAAAAGGCAACCTACTGAATGGGAGAAGCTATTTGCAAGTCATGTCTCACAAGGGGCTAATATCCAAAATATAGACGGCCCCTGACTTAGGATGGTTCAACTTAGAAATTTTCTACTTTATGACGGTGTGAAAGCGATACACATTCAGTACACACCGTACTTGGAAGTTTGAACTTCGCTCTTTTCCCGGGCTGGCGCTTTGGGGGACAGCCCTGTCTTGTGATGCTGGGCAGCGGCAGCCGCAGCTGCCAGTCAGCCCCGCGATCACGAGGGTGAACAACCGATACACTGACAGCCACCCTGTCCCCACACAGCCATCCTGCTCGTCACCCTCAGCGCAGAGTTCAGTACGTCACAGGAGACGTTCAGCACGGTCTCATAGACGAGGCTTTGTGTTAGAGGCCTCTGCCCAACTGTGGGCTGAGGTAAGAGTCCTGAGCACGTGTGAGGCAGGCTGGGCTACGCTGCGATGGTCGCTAGGTTAGGTCTATTACGTGCATTGTCGACTTAATGATATTTTCAACTTCCGATGGATTTATCAGGATGTAACCCCATTCTAAGTCGAGGAAGGTCTGTATGAAAAGAACTTACAGAACTCAATAGCAAAAAAACAAATAATCCAATTAAAAAATGGGCAGAAGACCTAAATAGACATTTTTCCAAAGAAGGCAACAGCTACATGAAAAGATCCTCAATATCATTAATCATCAGGGAAATGTGAATCAAAACGCAATGAGATAGCACCTTATACCTGTTAGAATGGCTACTGTCAAAAACACCAGGTTTCGGTTCAAGATGGCAACGTAGGAGGATCCTAAACTCACCTCCTGCCACAGACACACTGAATTTATGGCTATATATGGAACAATTTCCTCTGAAAAAAACCTAAAAACTGGTGGAGTGACTCCTTCACATCGAGTAAACAAGAGAGAAACCGCATTGAAGCAGGTAGGAAAGGCTGAGACACAATCCCACCCCTGGTGCAGCGACCCACAATGGCGAGGGAACTCAAAACCCTGAGTTTCTCCCTGAGGAGTGAAGTGTTAGTACTCCATATTGGGCACCTCAGCTTTTAAGACCAGCACCCGAGAGATGAGCCCTCAAAACATCTGGCTTTGAAGACCAATGGGACTCCTGCCCACGAGACCCACAGGATGGTGGCAAACTGAGAAACATCTCTTAAAAGGCCCATGTGCAGACTCACCCACCCCAAGGCACAGCACAGAAGCAGCCCTTTGAAGAGTGCCCAGGCTTTGTGTGAAAGACTCATTTCCTAAGTTTAAAGCATTGGTCTAATGGGCAAGAGATTCTCTCCAGGGATGGAGGCTAGGGGGGCACCATCTTCCTGCTCTCCAGTAGGCATCATCTTTTTCTCCCCTCTTTTTTTCTTTTTCTTCTATTTTTTCTTTTTCTCATCCTTTTTTTCCCTTTTTTGGTGAGTGCCATCTTCATGCTCTCCCTTTGCTGTGCTCCAGAATGCCAGTATCTTCCAGAGGGTAGCTTCTACACACATCTGGTGACCCAGTTTTTGTGGCTGCCACCCAGGGGATGCCCCTTGATTGCCTGGCCATGAAGGCCAGGGGGCTTGTGTTCTTGGGTCCCATGGGGCTGTAAAAATCAGAGAAACAGTTCTTGGCAGACTGTCACTCCCAGGGCACTGCACAGAGAGAAAACTGAGGCACAGCCCTAGTTTTTATCAGAAAGAGGCCTATCTGCTTGTCCAGGAGCTTTGGCCTGAGGAGCAGGCTGGTTTGGCACACTTACAGGGGCTTTGGAGGGGCTCTCCGAGAATGGAGGCCAGGGTCACCATCTTTGTGCTTTTCCCTTGCCTCACTAGAGCTCCCTAGTATCTCTCAGAATGAAGCTTGTACACTTGTCTGGAGCCCTGATTTTTGAGAATGCTGCCCAGGGGACATCTCCAGATCACCTGGCTCTGGGGCCAGCGGGGTTTACACTTGCAGTCCCACAGGACTGTATATATTTGTATCCTTTAAAAGCTGTTTCCTGAGGTTCTGTCTTCCAATCAGCCTGAATCTAGGTGCTTACTGTAATCCAGCTAGTGGGACACTGACTGGTCTTGGCACACCCTAATCTACTGGGAGCTATTAAACATAAAATAGGCTGCTTGGACAAGCACAAAGATTTGAGAGATGACCAAGAGTCAGGGCAGGGTTGAACAATAATGTTCATCATCTACACAAGGCCAACTCTTCAAGACTGGGAGAAGTGGTTGTTTCATCTAACATGTAGAAACCAACAGAGAGTGAAGCAAAATGAAAAAACAAAGGAATATCTTCCAAATGAAAGAACAAAATAAAACCTCAGAAAAAACCTTAATGAAACAGAGATAAGCAATTTAACTGATAAAAAGTTCAAAGTAATGGTTATAAAGATGCTTACTGAACTCAGGAGAAGCATGAAGACAGTGAGAGCTTCAACAAATAGATAGAAAATATGACAAAGTTCCAAACAGAAGTCACAGAGCTGAAGAATACAGTAACTGAACTGAAAAATACACTAGAGGGGCTCAACATCAGGCTAGATGAAGCAGAAAAAAGGATCAGTGAACTCAAAGACAAGGCAGAGGACCTCACCCAATCAGAGCAGCAAAAAGAAAAAAGAATGAAAAATAGTGAAGATAGCTTAAGGGACTTATGGGACATCAATTGGGCCAACATTCACAGTATAGGAGTCCCAGAAGGAGAAGAGAGAAAGGGGCAGAAAACTTATTTGAAGAAATAATGGCTGAAAACTTCCCTAACCTGGATAAAGAAACAGACATCCAGATCCAGGAATCCCAGAGAGTTCCAAACAAGATGAATCCAATGAGACCCACATCAAGCCACATTATAATTAAAATGTTAAAAGTCAAAGACAAGGAGAGAATCTTAAAAGCAGCAAGAGTAAAAACGACTTGTTACCTACAAGGGAACCCCCATATGACTATTTTTCAGCAGCAACTTTGCAGGCCAGAAGGGAGTGGTATGATATATTCAAAGTGCTAAAAGAAAAAAATTCCAACCAAGAATACCCTACCCGGCAAAGTCATCATTCAGAATTGAAGGAGAGATAAAGAGCTTTCTAGACAAGCAAAAGCTAAAGGATTTCATCTCTAGTAAACCAGATAGTAATAATAAATAATTATTTAAAAACTATAAAAATAAAAATAACTGTAACTACAATAATTAGTTAAGGGATACACACGATAAAAACATGTAAAATCTGACATCAAAAACATAAAATATGAGAGAGGAGAGTAAAAGTATAGAGCTTTAGAAAGCATACAAACTTAAGTTATTATTAACTTAAAAAAGAATGTTATAAATATAACTTGTTATATGTAAGCCTCATGGTAACCACAAAGCAAAAACCTATAGTAGACACACAAAAGTTAATGAGAAAGGAATCTAAGCATACCATTAAAGTCATCAAACCACAAAGAAAGCAGGAGAAGAAGAAAGGAACAGAGGAACTACAAAACAGCCAGAAAACAATTTAAAAAATGGCAATAATTTCATACCTATCAATAATTACTTCAAATGTAAATGGACTAAATTCTCCAATGAAAAGACATACAATGACTGAATGGATAAAAAAACAGGAATCATCTATATGCTGCCTACAAGAGACTCACTTCAGATGTAACAACATATACAGACTAAAACTGAAGGCATGGAAAAAGATATCCCATGCAAATAGAAATCAAAAGAAAGCAAGGTAGCTGTACTTATATCAGACAAAATAGACTTTAAAACAAAGACTGTAATAAGAGACAAAGAAGGGCATTACATAATGATAAAGGAGTCAGTCCAACAAGAGGATATAACATTTGTAAATATTTATACACTTAACATAGGAGCACCTAGGGGCCAGCCTGGTGGTGAAGCAGTTAAGTGCACACATTCTGCTTCGGTGGCCCGGGGTTTGCCACTTAGGATCCCAGGTGCGGACATGGCACCGCATGGCAAGCCATACTGTGGTAGCTGTTCCACATATAAAGTAGAAGAAGATGGGTATAGATGTTGGCTCAGGGCCAGTCTTCCTCAGAAAAAGGAGGAGGATTGGCAGATGTTAGCTCAGGGCTAATGTTCCTCGGGAAAAAGAAATATATAAAGCAAATATTAACAGACCTAAAGGGAGAAATTAGACAGCAATACACTAATAGTAGGGGACTTTACTACCCCGTTTACATCAATGGGCAGATCATCTAGACAGAAAATCAATAAGGAAATGCTGGCTTTCAATGACACATTAGACCAGATGGACTTAACAGGTATATACAGAAATTCCATCCAAAAGTAACAAAATACATATTCTTCTCACGTGCACATGGAACGTTCTCCAGTATAGATCATATGTTAGGCAACAAAACAAGTCTTAACAAATTTAAGAAGACTGAAGTCATATCAAACATCTTTTCCAACCACAATGGTATGAAATTAGAAATAAATTACAAAAAGAAAATGGAAAATTTACAAATATGTGGAGACTAAACAACATGCTACTGAACAACCAATGGATCAATGAAGAAATTAAAAAATGAAATAAAAAATACACTGAGATAAATGAAAATGGAAATACAATATAGCAAAACTTATGGGATGCAGGAAAAGTAGTTCTAAGAGGGAAGTTCATAGCAATAAATGCCTACCTCAAGAAACAAGAAAAATCTCAAATAAAAAACCTAACTTTACACCTCAAGGAACTAGAAAAAGAAGAATAACTGAAGCCTGAAGTTATCAGAAAGCAGGAAATAATAAAGATCAACACAGAAATAAATGAAATAGAGACTAAAAATATAATAAAAAAGATCAACAAAACCAATAGTTGGTTCTCTGAGAAGATAAGCAAAATTGAAAACCTTTAGTTAAACTCACCAAGAAAAAAAGAGGGCTCAAATAAGTAAAATCATAAATGAAAGAGGAGACGTTACAACTGATACCACAGAAATACAAAGGATCATAAGAGACTATCACGAACAATTATACACCAACAAATTGGACACCCTAGAAGAAATGGCTAAATTCCTAGAAACATACAACCTTCCGGAACTGAATCATGAAGGAATAGAAAATTTGAACAGACTGATTACTAATAAGGGATTGAATCAGTAATTTAAAAACTCACTACAAACAGAAGTCTAGGACCAGACAGCTTCACTAGTGAATTCTATCAAACATTCAAAGAAGAATTAATACCAACTCTTCTCAAACTCTTCCAAAAAACAGAAGAAGGAAGCTTCCAAAAACAAAAATTAACTCCAAAAGTCTTGAATGTAAGACCTGAAACCATGAAATTCCTAAAAGAAAACAGAGGTGGTAAGCTCCTTGACATTGGTCTTGGTGATGATTTTTTGGATTTGACACCAAAAGCATAGGCAACAAAAGCAAAAATAAACAAGTGGGACTACATTAAACTCAAAAGCTTCTGCACAACGAAGGGAACCATCAACAAAATGAAAAGACAACCTACTGAATGGAAGAAAATATTGGCAAATAATACAGCTGATAATAGGTTAATATATATATAATATATGTTATATATTATACATCCAAAATATATAAAGAACTCACCCTTAAATAAATAACTCACAAATAAATAAACTCATGCCTAAATGAAGAACTCATACAACTTAATAGCAAAAAAACCCAAAAAACCCAATCCAATTAAAAAATGGGCAGAGGATCTGAATAGACATTTTCCTAACGAAGGCATACAGATGGCCAACAGGTACACGAAGAGACCCTCAGCATCACTGATCCTCAGGGAAATGCAAATCAAAACCACAATGAGATATCACCTCACACCTGTTAGAATGGCTATTATCAAAAAGAAGATAACAAGCATTGGTGAGGATGTGGAGAAAAGGGAATCTTTGTGCACTATTGGTGGGAATGTAAGTTGGTGCAACCACTATGAACACAGTATGGAGATGCCTCAAAAAATTAAAAATAGAACTACCATATGATCCAGCAATTCTACTTCTGGGTATTTATCCAAAGAAAACGAAAACACTAACTCAAAAAGATATCGGCACTCCCATGTCCATGTTCATTGCAGCATTACTCACAACAGCTGAGATATGGAAGCAACCTAAGTGTCTATCAACGGATGAATGGATATGGAAAATGCTATGTACACACACTCGAATATTATTCAGCCACGAAAAAGAATGAAATCTTGCCATTTGCAACAACAAGGAAGGACCTTCAGGGTATTGTGCTAAGTGAAATGTGACAGAGAAAGAGAAATACTGTGTGACCTCACTTATATGTGGAATCTAAAACAAACAAACTCAGCTCACAGATACAGAGAACAGACTGGTGGTTGCCAGAGGTAGGGGGTAGGGGTGGGAGAAATGGGTGAAGGGGGTCAAAGGCAAAAATAAAAATGAATAAATATTGTGCATTACTGAGCAGGAGCAGCAATAACAACAAGGAACACCGAGTGTGAAGGAATAGATCAAATATTCAAATAAAGAAACAAATTTTAACAGAAACTGGAATATATTTAAAATTAAACAACAGTAAGACATATAAAGGAAAAATAAATAAAACAAACAAAAAAATAACTTCATGCTCTCATGAGGCTTACCTTAAATGAACACAGGTGACAAGCACTGACATGGCTAACACTTTAGATGGGCACTCAAGTTCTCTGAGAAAGGGACCACTGAATCTTGACTGGCAAAAACTCAAGGCTCCACCCGAAGCTATAAGGCCAGAGTGGCCCGCACTGAGGGAACAGCTAAGGCAGGAAATACCTGTCTTTCAGGAAAGCAAGTGGGAGAGGGATGTAAGCCCTAAGGCCGTGGAGGCTGTGCCCCCACCCAGCTCCACTAGAACACCAGCACCCTGAGCGTGCCTAAAAGTTCAGGCAATTCCAGTTGCAGCCAGCCACGCTAGTCTTGGAACAAGACAACACACAAAACTTTGAGATGAAAAAGACCGAAAACCCTGAGAATTTCTACCTCCACAACTTTATCTTGTCATGACTGGAATACTACAGCGATAGTTATGGTGGAAGGAGGGCTCAAGTGGTTACAAAGTATTTTAAAAAGTAAGAGAAAGTGATACAAGAACAAAACTCCAAAATATCAGCCATTTTAGGCCCAATTCTCAGTGTCTAAGAATTAGTATTTACGTGTTAAGTCAGATGCTTATGGCAGCACTAAGCTCCTCAGATGGGGAACCTGTACCCTGAACAGGCAGTCTTGGGCCTCAGATTCACAGACCAAGAAGTGAGAGGAGATCCAGTGCTGAGTCAGCAGATATTTAGCACAACCCACGAGCACGCAGCAGACCCCAGGAGCAGACCCCATTCTCTCCCTTGAGCCCAGACGGGGCTGAGGGTGCACTAACGTGACCTGAAATGGTACCTGACATAGAACCTATTGCCCCCTCAGATCCAACCCATCTCCCAGCCTCCCCCCGGCACCCGGCACCCACAGACGAGGAACAGGAGGCCATGCACGGCTGCCCAGTGCAGACACCCAGACACGGGGTGGCACGCGATACCACTTCTCCCCTCTCTGCTCGCTCGCAAACATGTGCCTGTAAATAACATAGATATTCACACACCTGTGAAACTGCCAGGTTGAAAAGAGTGGGGTCTTTAGAAGTTGCCGGTCATCTAATCCTGGACAACAAGCTCAAAGTGTGTATGAGGGAGAACTGGAACCCACCAGTGCCCCCCACAGACATGGGGTTTTCAATCCTCCCCTTTGTATTTCTACTCATCTTATGGTCACCTGCTCCCATTCAGGTAACCCATGTAATCAACTTAGTAAGTACCGCTCTAAAAGGGTTTCCGTGCTCATATAAATATATACAAAAATATAAAAATACAAAAATGCCACATAAAATAGACATAAATAAATGCATACACATGAACACGACTGCATCTTACAACATAACAAATACAAGTAAAAAGCACAGTTCTCTTAGGATAAAAAGTGGCATTAACCGAAAAAGAATGATATCCTAAAACAACTCCTCTCAGTATGTATATGAACAGACAACTACACTCTGCATAGAATCGCATTAGACGTGGCATTTCCACAGGTTGCTTATTATACCAAACATTTCATAAAAATTATTCCACCTGGGGCCAGCCCTGTAGCATAGTGGTTAAGTTAGCGTGCTCCACTTCAGTGGTCCGGGGTTCATGAGTTTGGATCCCAGGTGCAGACCTACACACAGCCATCAAGCCATGCTGTGGTGGCATTCCACATACGAAATAGAGGAAGAGTGGCACAGATGTTAGCTCAGGGCCTATCTTCCGCACCAAAAAATAAATAAGTAAAAAAAATTCTTCCACCTACTTTGAAAAAGTGCTAGAACATTCCAAGAGCTCTATGCTTTCGGATGGTAGAGTTTCTTCAAGTATTGGTCAAGAACTAGGCATGTGTCCAATCGTGTCTTTTCCAGGAGAGAAGGTACACTAGGGAACCCCTAGTTTCCTAAAGAGATTCTTTGATACTCAGGACACAGCAGAGCCTGCCCCACCTTCCTCATAGACATACTTTCCGGAGGCCAACAGGTGGTCCTGAATTGTCTCCTTTGCATATTTTTCCCCGAGTGTTTCCAAGGCATCCAGCAGGGTGTTGACAGAGGCACTCCGCCCTGTTTTCTTGAGCCAGATCGTCAGCATTTCATACAAGGCATCCTGATGGCTCGTGATTTCAGCTTCCATCACATCGATCTCATTTTGTGTGAGACCCAACTGCCGCATCAAGCGTTTCCATGACTTAAAGGGCACAATTCTTGGAAAGTAATCAAAGAACAGCTGCAGGCCTAGGTGGGGAAAGCACAGGGACAGTCAGGTGAGCTGGGCCGCCTACAGAAAGGGCAGCGGACCCTCAGTCAGGCCCAGACCTAATGGAACCTGGTGGAACCGTGTGCGCTCCCCCTGCTCTGAGCCTGCTGCTCTGCCTCCCTTACCTGCTTCCCATCAGCAAAGGATCAGGCCATGCTGCCTGGGCCCCACCTGGGCCCAAGTCACTGCGGGGAGTCAAGGTCAACAGTGAATCCTGCCCTAAGGGAGGCTGAGAGCCCACCTGGGAGAGGAGATGGATGTCATGGAGGGAGAAAGCAGTATGTGGCGTGAGACAGACCGGGTGCAACAGGTCCTCAGAGGAGGGAACCCGCTCAGGCTGTGCCCATCAAGCAAGGGACGTCCCAGGGCTGCCACACCTGCCCCTGTGGAGGCAGCAAGGTCTCTGGCTTTACACCCGGCCTGGGCTCCGTCACTGACACTGTGGCAGAGCGAGATGAGGACAGACAGACTCTGAGCCAGAATTTAACCTGTGAGATGGAGCAGACACCACTCATCTCGTGGGACCGTACTACAGTGCACACCACCATCCACAGGTATATAAGGCAAGCCAGGCTACTTGTTTAAATGTTGATAATAGCTGCATTGAAGAAAATAAAAAGAAACAGGTGATATTAATTTTAATAATACAGTCATGCGCTGCATAATGACTTTTCAGTCAGTGATGGACCACATATACGACAGTGGTACCATAAGATTAGTACCATATAGTCTAGGTGTGTAGTAGGCTGTGCCATCCAGGTTTGTGTAAGTGTACTCTATGATGTTTGCACAATGGCAAAATCACCTATTTCTCACACAACGCATTTCTCAGAATGTATCCCAATCGTTAAGTGACGCATGACTGTATATGGTACTAACTCGATAGCTACAAAATATTATAATTTAACATGCAATCAATAAGCAAAAAATTACCAATGGGATATTTTATATTCCTATTTTGTGCTAAGATTTGAAATCTGGTTTGTAGTTTACAATTACAGCTCATCAAATTTGGCCTAGCCACAGGTCAGGTGCTCGGAGCCTCCCGGGGCCAGTGGGTGCCCTGCTGGTCAGCTTAGCCCCTTAGGAAGCCCTCAGTGTAGGGGAACCTGGCACTGAACAACAAAGGAGAACAGAGTATGGTGGAGGAGGGAGAGACAGGGAGGTGCTAGCAGATGTTGTTGGGGACAGAGGGGTGCAGTGAGGGGAGAAGAAGAGGTGGGAGAGCCTCCTCTTAAGGGTCCCGATGGCCCAGTGACAATCAGCATAGGCCCCCTGTGTCCAGCATCCCCTGCTCTGTGCTTCCCTAACAGCTAAGACACAGCAGGAAGGATACTGACCCTCTTCCCTCCACTGCCCCGAACAAAACACTCACTTTCAGTGGGGTCTGCACCGTTGGCTGGAACCAGCAGCCTCCTTCTCATCTGAGACCCTTCAGCTCCTGCAGGTCCCTGTGAAATACAGTGGAGACTGCCCTCGGGTCGAGACAAGAGTCCTAGATCTCAGACCTGAGCCTGACAACCAGCCAGCCGTGTGGCCTGGGGCAGCCACCTCGCCTCCCGGGTCTCCATGGAAATGGAGAGGAACCTCCCACTCCGTGCAGCTCTCAGGCTGCGTGTGCTTGTGTGCTCACGGAGGCCCACCCTACTTGCATAATGCCCATTTCTCAAGTGTCGTTCCAGCTCTGACAACTGTATACACCCAAGTAACCATCACCCAATCAAGACATGGAACATTCTCTCCACCCCACACAGTTCCCTTCTGCCCCGTGCAGTCCATCCCCACCCACCCCATCAACAGAGTCAGCCCGCCACAGGCTTTTATGTGACTCAAAGGAAGAAGATAGATGAGGGCACTTTGGAAAATCAAAAGTAAAGGTTTATTCCATTAATGCAAAGATAGTTTCAGCAATAACAGTGTACTATTTAAATAGTCTAAATAAGAGAATGAAAGCATTAGATAGTCTCCATGGAGTATGGAAAGGTATTTTGTAAAATTAAATATGAATTCTGATTTTTTAAAAACACCTCAAAATAGGATAAGATCCTATTTTGCATCCATAGTGCACTCATAATGATAAGATTTTCTATATGAAACCAAGAGTCAACATCATTCCTAAGGAAATATTGGAGGCCTTCCCAATGAAATCAAATCAAGACGAAAACACCTGCCTTCTCTCAGCATCTCTGAACATTTGTTCTCTAAGTCCTGGGCCATGCAGCAAGACGGGAAACACAAATGAGGCACGACCCGAGGAAGCGAGCAGAAAACAGTCACTATTTTAGATGTGATTATATATTTTTAAAAAGCTCTATGGTGTAAACTGCAATATTTAAAAAAGAATGTATGTCTTGCTAAACAATAAATTAAAAAATAGAATTATAAGAGGATCCAACAGATAAGACAACAAAACACATAAGGTACAAAGAAACAGCTTTGACAAGAAACAGGAGTAATTTATCTGAAGAAAAACACAAATCTTAACCGAGTCATAATAAAACCCTTGACTTGAAATGCTATCTTCTTTGATAAGAAAAATATTTAATATTGACAAGATCTCAATTCTTCCTAGATTAATTTGTGAATTTAAGATGATATAAAAAAATTCCAATGATTTTTTTGGGGTGGAGGAAATCTTATAAAATAATTCTAAATTTTATCTGGGTAAAAATAAATTTTGAAAAAGGAAAGAAGAGTTATTTGCTCTCCCAGATATTAAGACATATTAGAAAGTTTCATTTGGTGGGATATTGTACACAGATGGTATTTGCATAAAGATTTAAGCCAAGAACCACAAACAATTATGTCTCGTGGTTATGTGAAATGAAAAGAGCCAGGGGCTGAGAGCCAGGGGCAAGAGCAGGAGTCGGTCACTGCCCACTGAGAACCTTTCTGTACCATTGACAGTTTCTCACTGTGGATAGTATTAACCACATTGAAAAAAAGTGAAAAGTGATTAATCCGGATGAAGGGATTATTGGCCTTTTTTGTTTGTTTCCTTTTATACTTTCTCTTTATTTAAAAAGAATGTAATATAGATGCAGAAAAGGAACAGAAAGGAGCACTCTAATTACAAACAGGATCATTGTCAATGCAAACATTTCACAAGTGATAATGGAGGGACCAGAAGCAGAGAGATGTGTGAGCATCAGCCGCTAAACGGAGTTGGAGGAGGGAGGGGGTGAGTCAGAATTCAGGGGGCACCTCACGACATACCATATCACAAAATAAATCCCATTTAGATGATATTGCTATGTGATAGAAATCGTTATTAAAGAAAAAACCTCTGTAAGAAATGAGAGAATTTCATCCTATCTTATACTGGGGGAAATGACTTTTCAAGCTTATGAGGAATGAAAAATTAAACGTTTCTACAGATTTACTACTCAATGTCACATCGAAACTGATGAACCGATATGAACCAAACTGGATATGTGTGTGTGTGTGTGTGCATGCATCCAGCAAAAAACTACTTCTACACATTAACCTAGAAATTCTACTTCTTCTAAGAAGCCACAATACAAATATGATCAGATATCTGGACTAAGAATTTTTATACATGTTCAATGTAATAATAATCTTGAAATAAACTTGAAATTCTTAGTGATATGAGGAGTGGCTTAAAATTAAGTAACACACAGTGGAGCACTATGTAGCTGTCATGATTCAACAATCATAGAAGCGCCTGCTCTATGGCTCTTATTCTAGACTCTGGGGATACAGTGAGAACTGGACAGATAGGAAAACCCACACAGGCCACAGGGCTGACACTCTACCATATCCGGGTGGCGGGCTCCTGCACACGCAGCCTCCTCCTCTTCGGGGCCCAGATCTCCCTCCATCACCACTTCCCATGGACAGGAGAGCTGACCAGTGTCAGCCTTTCCCTGTTCCTACCACGGTCCTGGGCAAGCAGAAGGGCCAGGGCGCCACATGGCCCATCACCCACTCACCAGCAGATGCTCTGCTTCCCCTGGGGACTGTGCGCTGACACCTGTCGGCTCTGCCTGCTCCTTGCCTTCCAGTTCCTGCTCAGAAACCAGGGTGGACGACGACTCTCTGTTGTTCAGGGTCTCGTTGTAGGCGTTGTCCAGAGCCTCAGGTCTTCTTGGGGGACAGGAGCGCAGGAAAAAGACCTTGGGAAGGCAAAGAGCTGCCTCAGGGGTCCTCATCCACAGCCCCCTGCAGGGCCCCAGGGGACACGGCAGGCTCTCCCCCCACGCTGTCCCCCAGGCTGGCCCAGGCTCAGCACATCCAGGACTCGAGGGTCGGCACCCCTGCCTGACGCCCCCGATGCCCAGGGGCAGGGCCATGGGGTGAGGGCGTCTCACAAGCAGCAGGAAGGACAGGACTCGGCACTGCCAACCGGCCTGGGGGCTGCTCACAACGGGCCACTTGACCTCTTACGGTCAGCCCAGGCCACTTTAAGAGCCAGGGGCAGCAGTACAGGACAATGGGGACCACATCCACCCAGGGCTTGCTGTGGGCGGGAAGAGGTTCCTGAGGGCCTGATGCTGCTAGGTCCTGGAGAAACCAGCTCACTCTGTTTATGCAGTTGGCGTCCACTTCACAACCTAGAAGAGAAGGGGCGTCCGCCTTAGCCATGGAGAGGCCTCTTTGCAGCGCCTCCCTGTCCATGGACAGTGCAGGGGCAGGGTGTGGGCTGGGGGCTCAGACACCAGACAAGGAGCCCCGGGCCTGGTGACAGGAGGGGGCCATTCCAACCCCAGGCACCCTGGGGGACGGGAAAATAAAAATAAACACATATAGATCTCTGTTGGGTTCTGCTCTGACCAAAGCTGTGCAGACCCCTGACCCTCTCCTCCTGAGTCCAGGTACCCAGTCGAGGAGCAGACCGCCCCTCTGCCCTGGCCGGGGCCCGAAGGCATGAAGAACTGGCTCTGCCCTTCTGGACTTATCTAGGGACAGGAGGTGACCGTCAGCCCCAAGAAGAGGGCACTGATGTGATCTCGGCCCTCGTGAGGTGCAGGTGAGGTGGGAGACGGAGGGAGATGACAGGAACAAGATCAGAGCGAGACCAGAAAGACCAGGGGGTTTGGGAGTTGGAGGGGAGGGCCCTTCTGTCTGGAGAAACAAAGCGGGGAGTGAGGGAGGCAGAGAGCGTCAGCGCCTCCCCGCCCACCTCACCTTGAAGGATGCACCTCTGGTAAAGATACACAGTCAGCCCCAGCAGCAGGACAGCCACAGCCACAGCCACAGCTACAATCCCAATCACCGGCCATGGATTGCCTGAGGAGCGAGAGGGAGTAGTGGGTAGCCCCACGGTCACTGGCTCTCCAGGAACCGGGGCCTCCCCACTGGCCTGGGTACCTGATCCTTGGTGGACACACTTGAGGTCACTCCAGGGGGTACAGGGACCGGCCTCAACCATCCCATCAGGGCACCTGGGCACAGACACAGAAAGGACATGGAGGGGATCGGTGAGAGAGAGCTGGCAAGAGGAGGAGAAAGAGGGCACAACCTCCCGCCCAATGTCCCTAAGAGTGGAGGAAGAGCGGCCTTCTCCTGTCTGCAGGCCCTGGGCCTCTCACTCCCCTGCTGGGTGCCAGAGGATCTGAGCATGCGCACTTCAGCCTCTGGGGCCCCTGCTGAGTGTTCAGAGCTGCACCTGCAGGGGCTGCGCCTTCTCTGCAAGCTGAGCTTCCCTGGCTGCGGGTGGAGCCCTGCATGAGGGGGCATCTCACCCAGGTCAAGGGTCAGAAGCCCTTTAGGCGCCAGCTGAGCCTCATCCTCCATCAACCTTTAATACAAGGAATGTCTTGTCCTCCCCGTGCTGACTATTCCTACCAATCGTGGCCAACACCAGGGTCAGAGAACAGGAAATTACTGCTGGACCCTGAATCCCAGTAACGGGGAAACGCACGTCTCACTGGGGTGACAGGGGCCTGGGCCAGGCAGGCTGAGTTGGCTCAGGGCTTTGTGGGAACGGGGAAGGAGCCACAGGCTAGGTGTCATGGGGGCTCAGCTGTGGGCATGTTCGTGTTCACGGGCCCCGCCTGCATAAAAATAATATTAAAAATCATGCTTGACGACGCAATTGTAGTAAAGAAGAAGACAAGCCCAGCTGCACTCCACTCAGTTTTCCCTTGTGATTCAGAAGAAACTAAACCTTTTCTGGGGCCACTGACAGCATCACGGGCCCTACATAGCGGCCCACTGTGCCCCGTGGAAAACTTTACCCGGCTGCAGGGCAAACACGTTGTGAGATCGGGGAAGGGGACACTGCAGGGGCCAGGGTGGGGGCACGCTGATGGATGACGAGCGCCGATGCAGGCTCAGAAGACCCCACAGGCACAGGGAACCCTGGGGAGGCAGAGGGGCTGCATGGACGAGGACAGAGAGAGGGTCGGGGAACCTGCGTCTTCTGTGGGCTGGGAGCCTCGGCGGCTCCTCGTCTCACCTGCTGCGGCAGGTCTGGCAGACCTCGGGGAAATCTTCTCCGTGGAAAGTGCCACGTTTGCACCGACACTGTGTGTCCTCAGTTCTGGTGCAGTCAGCTATTCGTTCTTCATCTGATGACAAAGGACACGGTTGGGGACGTGTTTCCCTCACGTGTCCCTCAACATTTCTTCACCGCCCCACTCCCTCCCGCTCGGCTCCACTCGGTTCACTGCAGCTTTGAGGGTCAGTGGCTGCAGCACACATGTGGGGTACTTAAAGGACAGCCACCATCCACCTGTCACCAACACCCAGAGGTGTAAAAAAAAGGACACGATTCATTATTTAAAGCATCAGGATAGGGAGAAAAATTTTAGCTCACTGGGTCAGTAGGAAGGGCGGGGTATAACCTGAGGGACTGTGGATGGAGAGGAACCCTGGGTGACTCACCAAAACCCAGCCCTGCTGGAGAGGCAGACGGGCCTTAGGCTGTGAAGGCTGAGAGAGGCTGAGCCCTGCCATGGGCACCGACTGCAGGGCCAAGAGGAGCCTGGCCCAGGACCAGACCCACGCCACAGCTCAAACCTAGCCCTTCTCCTGGGCCAGGCTGTTTCTTGTGCTGTAACTACACAGCTCCCTCCATCAAGGGACACTTATTTTCCCACCACTTTCATCTGATGGTTTAAAAGATCTCCCTACCACGTGGCATGCACTGTAAAAATAATTTCTATTCTTATTTTATTGACCTAAGTCATAATCATGCAGCCTGCATGCATCATTAAGACCAAGATGGATTGGATTAAGATGAAGAGCAAGAAGGATTGGAATCCAGGTGTCCTGACGCCATGTGGGCTGCAATGCCCACCTCATCACCCTTGCACTTGGCGTGGGGTCTCCATGTTCTGTACCTGATTTACATGTAGAGCACGGTAAGCAGGAAGAGAACAGATTCTTGTGACTGGTATAATCCACTCCATCTGTGCATGGTGTACAACTTCTACTGTCTTCTGAAACATGGTATCCTGGGAAGGGAGAGAAAATCTGGTAGGTGAATCCTTATAGGATTCCCAGGGGCTGGCAGTGGTGATTGGGGGACCCCTCTTTCGGCCATCAGTGGAATCCTAACAGGGAAATCCACTCTCTCGGGCGTTGGCCAGTTCATCAATTCTGCATCTACCATACACCCTTGACCAGCATTGTAACAGAAATATATTAAAAGCCAACATGAAATTCAAATACTACAGACGTCACCTTAAAAGAGCAGAAGGAAACAGGTCAAATTAATTTTAACCAATATATTCAAAATAATATCACTTAAACATGTAATAAATTTAAAACATTCAAATATTTTACACTATTTTTTCAGAGTATGTCTTAGAATCCAGGGACTCTTTCTCCCTCACAGCACTCACAATTCAGAGTAGCCATATTTCAGGTGCTCAAAACTCTCACAGGCCTAGTGACTACTGTATTGGACAGTGCCACCCAGGTCCCTGGAAAGTCACAGAAGAAAGTCCTAATCTCTGTCCTCAGTGAGCTTCAAGTCAGCGGAAGACACAAACAACAATCAGGGACAAGCCTTCAGTTAAAGTTCCTGCCACCTGCCATGGCAGGAAAATGGGAGGAAAAATGGGTCCCCTATGTAAAGAGTCAAAGAATGATCCAAAGAAAGGGGCTTGTGCCCTGTGTACAGAGGAGTTCTCCAGCCACTGCACTGTGCTCAGTAAGCAGTCGCTCCCCATTTCCCCCGCCCCGCCCCCGAGAACTACTCACCTATGTCCTGTAGCTCAGAACTAGCCTAGTCTCGACAACCCTACAAGGGAATCATGATTGTCTTTGGCGCATTTCACTGAGCATAATGTTTTTGAGGCTCAGGCGTGCTGCTGCATGTATCAGAATTTCAGTCATTGCAGGAGCTCTCCCTTCGCGGAGCCCATGTCCCGAGGCTAGACTGGCACCTCCAGGACTGCTCCTTCAGGTGACCTCGCTCTCCCCTGAAGGATCAACCTCTCCTTCTCTCTGTTCATTTTTTCTTTTATTGTAGTAAAATATACGTAACATAAAATTTGCCATTTTACCACTTTTAAGTGTACAATTCAGTGGTATTAACTATATTCTTTGTACAACCACCACCACTATCTATTTGCAAAGATTTTTTCACCCTAAACAGAAACTCTGTACTCATTAAGCAATCACTCCCCGTTTCCCCTTCCCCCTCAGCCCCTGGTAACCGCTCATGAGTTTTCTGTATCTCAGAATTAGCCTAGTCTAGATATCCCTATGAGGGAATCACGCAATGATTGTGTTTGGCTTATTGAGCACAATGTTTTTGAGGTTCATCCATGTTGGAGCACGTATCAGAATTTCAGTCCTTTTTAAAGGCTGAATAATGCCCCATTGCACGTACATAACACATTTTGTTTATCCATTCATCCATCGATGCACCTGTAGGTTGCTTCCACTTCTCAGCTATGGTGAATAGTTCCGTGAAATTGGGTGTGCAAATATTAATTTGAGACCTTGCTTTCAATTCTTTTGGATATATACCCAGAAGTGGGATTGCTGGATCATACGGTATTTTAATTTTTTAATTTTTTGAGGAGCCTCAATACTGTTTTCCATAAGGGTCGTACTACTTTACAATCTCATCAACAGTGCACAAGGGTTCCAATTTCTCCAGATCCCAACCAACACTTGTTATTTTTTGTATTGTTGATAGTAGCCATCATAATGGGTGTGAGGTGATATCTCATTGTGGTTCTGATTTGCACATCTCTTATGATTAGTGATAGTGAGCATCTTTTCATATGCTTGTTGGTCATTTGCATATCTTCTGTGGAGAAAGGTCTATTCAAGTCCTTTGCCCACTTTTTAATTGGGTTGTTTGTCTTTTTGATATTGAGGGGTAGGACTGATTTATATATTCTGGATATTAAACCCTTATCAGTTATTTGACTCACAAGTATTTTCTCACACTCTGTGGGTTGCCTTTTCATTTAGTTGATTGAGTCCTTTGATGCACGGTTTTAAATTTTGATGTAGTTTGATTTATCAATTTTTTTCTTTTGTTGCTATGCTTCTCATGTCATATTAAAAAACCATTGCCAAATCCAAAGTCATCAAGAAATGTCCCTGGGTCTGGCCTGGTGGTGCAGCGGTTAAGTTCGCATGTTCTGCTTCGGTGGCCCGGGGTTTGCTGGTTCAGATCCCGGTGCAGACGTGGCACTGCTTGGCGCGGCATGCTGTGGTAGGCATCCCACATATAAAGTAGAGGAAGATGGGCACGGATTTTAGCTCAGGGCCAGTCTTCCTCAGCGAAAAGAGGAGGATTGGCAGCAGTTAGCTCAGGGCTAATATTCCTCGGGGGGGGGGGGGGGGGGAAGAAATGTCCCTATGTTTTCTTCTAAGAGTTTTAAAGTTATATCTCTTTTATTTTGGTCTTTGATTCATTTTGAGTTAATTTTTTATGTGATGTAAGGTAAGGGCCCAACTTCATTCTTTGCATGTTGGATATCCAGTTTCTTCAGTGCTATTTGTTGAAGAGACTACTCCTTCCCCATTGAATGGTCTTGGCACCCACATCAAAAATCAGTTAACATAGACATGAGGGCTTATTTCTATTAATCCATAGGTCTGTATGTGTAATCCTTATGCCAGGATCACACTGTTTGGATTACTGTACTTTTGTCATAGCTTGGGTATCAGGTGTGAGTCCTTCAACTTTGTTTTTCTTTTTCAACATTACTTTGGCTATTCTGGGTCCCTCTTAACTCCATATGAATTTGAAGATGGGTTCTTCTGTTTCTGAAGTTACACTGTTGGGATTTCGAGAGGGACTGCATTGAATCTGCATATTGTTTCAGTTAATACCGTCATCTTAACAACACTGTCTTCCAACCCATGAACATGGAAAGTCTTTCTGTTTATTTAGGTCTCTTTGCACTTTTTTCAGCAATGTTTTGTAGTTTTCAATGTAAAAGTCTTGTGCCTCCTTGTTACATTTATTCTTAAATAGTTTATTCTTTTTGATGCCATTCCATATGGAATTGTTTTAATTTCCTTTTGGGATTGTTCATTGCTAGCATATAGACATATAAGTGATTTTCATGTGTTGATTTTACTAGTTCTAGCAGGTTAGAATTCATTTGTTAGTTCTAATAGAGTTTTTTTGCACGTGGATCCTTTACATTTTTTACATATAAGATCACGTGATCCACAAGAAGTGATACTTCTACTTCTTCCTTTCCCATTTGGATTCCTTTTATTACTTTTTCTTGCCTAATTGCTCTGGCTAGAACTTCCAATACTATGTCAAATAGAAGTGGTGAAATTGGGCATCTGGTCTTGCTCCTGATCTTACAGGAAAAGAGTTCAGTCTTCACTACTGAGTATGTTGGCTACGGTTTTTCATAGACAATCTTTATCATGTTGAGAAAAGTTCCTTCTAGTCCTAGTTTATTGAGTATTTTTATCATGAAAGTGTATTGGATTTTGTCAGATGATTTTCCTGCATCAGTCGAGATGATCATGTGGCTTTCCCCCTTCATTTGATTAATGTCGTGTATTACATTGATTGATTTTCATATATTGACACACTGTTGCATTCCTGAGATAAATCCCTTAGGGTATGCTGCGTAGTCCTTTTAATATGCTGAATTCAGAGCTGGCCCCATGGCCGAGTGTTAAGTTCGTGTGCTCCGCTTTGGTTCGGATCCTGGGCACGGACCCACACATCACTCATCAAGCCATGCTGTGGCGGCATCCCTCATAGAAGAACTAGAAAGACTGACAACTAGGATATACGACTACGTACTGGGGCTTTGGGAGGAAAAAAAAGAGGAAGATTGGCAACGGATCTTAGCTCAGGGCCAATCGCTCCTCACCAAAACAAACAAACAAACAAACCAAGCTCAAGTTGAGTTGTAAAAGAAGAGTATTAAAAAAAATATGCTTAATTAAGTTTGCTAGTATTTTTTTGATGATTTCTTTGCATTTATATTCATAAAGGTATACTGATCTGTGGTTTTCTTTTCTTCTGGCATCATTGTCTGGCTTTGGTGTCAGGGGAATGCTAGCCTCATAGAATGAGTTAGGTTCTGTTCCCTTCTCTTCAACATTTTTGGAAGAGTTTGAGAAGGATTGGTGTTAATTCATTCAAAAATATTTCATAGAAGTTCACGGTGGAGCCTTCTGGTCCTGGGCTTTTCTTTGCTGAGAGGTTTCTGATTGCTAATTAAAGCTCCTTACTTGCTATGGGTCTATTTAGGTTTTACATTTCTTCTTGAGACAGTTTTGGTAAGTTTGTTTTTCTAGGAATTTGTCCATATCATCTAGGTCATCCAATTTGTTGATGTATAGTTGTTCAAAGGATTCTGTTACAACCTTAATATTTCTGTAAAGTCAGTAGTAATGTTCCCTCTTTCCTTTCTAATTTGAATATTCTTAGTCAATACAGCTAAAGTTTGTCAATGTTGTTGATCTTTTCAAAGAATCTTCTTTTGGTTTTGTGGATTTTTCTCTATTTTTCTATTCACTATTTCATTTATGTCTGCTCTAATCTTTATTTTTTTCATGCTTCAGTTGACTTTGTTCTGGTTTGTTCTTCTTTTTCTATTTCCTCAAACTGTTTTGTTACATTATTTATTTGAGGTCTTTTCTCTTGTTTTAATGGAGGCCTTTGCAGTTATAAATTTCCCTGAGTACTGCTTTCACTGCATCCCATATGGAGTTGTGTTCTTGTTTTCATTTGTCGGAAGCTATTTTCTAATTTCCCTGTGATTTCTCCTGGACCTACTGGTTGTTTAAGAGTGTTGCTTCATTTCCACACACTGTGAGTTTTCCAGTGTTCTTTCTGTCATTGATTTCAAACTACATTCCATTTTGGTCAATGAAGAAACTCTGTATGATTTCAGTCTTTGAAAAGTTACTGAGGTTTGTTTTGTGGCCTAATATATGGTCTATCCTGGAGAATGTTCCACGTCCACCTGGGAAAAGCATGTATTCTCTGATGTTGTTGGGTGGA